CCGCACATGTGCGGGCACCTCCCACTGGCCAGTTGGTCTTCAGGTCTCTTCAACACATGCACGGGGATGGGGCCTTCTCCAATCTCCACAGTTTCTGCCCCCCCAGTGCGCCCTAGCTTTCTCCTGCATTTCTACTGCCTGTGCCTTCCCCGATCTCCGCAGGTGCCTCTGCAGGGATGGAGGAAAAAGCTAGGACACACTGGGGGGAGAAACTGCAGAGATCGGGGAAGGCACGGGAGGCAGGGATGGAGGAGAAGGTAGGTCATGCTGGGGGGGGGGGGAGACTGGAGATTGCAAGACATGCACAGGGACCGTGTGCGCATGCACAGGGGTGATCGTATTGCATTTTGAGGATTAGGGCATGTGTGTGCGCATTTGCGTGCACGTTTCGGCACTCGACATCAAAAAGGTTAACCTTCACTGGATTAGAATGTCAGACCTCCATTTACCAAAGGGTGAACCTCCTTCTATATGTGTAACCCAAAGGCTGGGCCTCTCATTGAATGTTCTTACAATGACCAGAAATACAAAAGGCTAAGATTTACCCTTACAATTTGACAAGTCAATGCTAATATTTATTTTCTTTACTCCTTTTAAGTGTAAATATAACCAAACTCATGATGCTGTGTACTCAGCTGTGCAAAGCTTTAAATCATTTATTCAATTGAAAGGTTTGATTTAATAACCATTTTTAAAAAGTTAATCCTTGGGTAGATTTGAAGTTTAAAAATCAAACAGATATCTTTTATTTGCTGTGTTTCCTGCACCCTAGTCCTGACATCTTTATTATAAAGTGCAGAGAAACAATTAAAAATACTGTATATATATAGCAATGAAAATCATAACACTTTCTAGCTGAAACTTTGCAAGAATATCCTCTGAAGCTGCATTTTTTAAAGAATAGTCTGATTCTCAGGAATCTGGAAAATCAAAATTATTTGCCAGATTGTTGAAAAATAATATATCAAAATCCCATCAAATAATTGTGAAAAATAATGTAATATCAAAATCCCATCAAATAATTTTGAAAAATAATGTAATATCAAATCCCATCAAATAATTGTGGGAAACGAAAGTGGCAGCAAATGGGTCGATTTTAATTTTCAATATGATTAATTGCAATAAATATAACCCAAACAAACAAAAAGGAGGCTGGGGGGTCCCCCATAATTTTTAAAAGCTGGAAGGGGTCCAGAGAAATATTTTAAGAAACTTCTCTAAAGCCTCTATCATTGTGGCATTCATTTTCTCTCAAAAAATTAAGCAGATGCAGGCATATATTTTCCCTGATTCATGTCTATGGACAAAGCTTTTCTTGATTCAAATCTTGAAACGCAAATCACAGATTTGGACTGAATCAGGCCTCATTCAGAACTGAACGGGAACGTAACTGATCTGTTACCCTCCAACACTTATCCCGCCAAAAAAGGCACTGTGAAGTGAAGGCAGCAAAAGCAGGTTACCTCAATCACCCGGAGGTCCTCCGTACTGCAGGCCTTCTTCTTGCATCTGCCACACAAAAGGACTTGATTGCTTTTCCAGGGTTTTGGTTCTGTCGTTTTTTTCTTGGAATCTAGCATTTTTATTTGCGTCTTTTGCAACTCGTTTATCTGGGGTAGAGAGAGAAAGATGGAATGCAGGTCACAAGGCGCCAACTACTCTCAAGAGCCCAAGAATGTTGTCATGAATCAACCTCCCCCCCCCAATCCTGAAAATAAATTAATGACAACCAAACCTTGTAAGCAACGTTAGAAAATGGTAGGTTCAGCCATTCTGCATTTGAACAGACTTTGAATTGGCTCCTTTTAAAGTACAGAATTTTCCCCTTTGGCTGATTGAGACATTAAGGAAGCCCACATTAAAAAAATTGCTCACCTTGTTTGCAAACATATTTTCATCCCAGCTCTGTACCTCTTCGATAGCTTTGTTCATCATTTCTTCCTTTTGTAAATTGTATCTCTCCTTCTCTTCCTGTTCTTTTTTGCTCGTCACAAGAACGCACTTGCTATCTTTTGCTCTTCCACGACCTGGAGATGGCACATTACAGGGAGTCCTTTTTTTAGTGACCAGAATAGGGACTACCAGTTTCATCACTAAGGGAAGTGGTCACGAAGTGAGAAACTACATAACCAAGATTGTGCTTTCTGGCTTGAAACTGCAAAGACTTGTTCAGTTCCACACCTTCACGTTTTATTTGCTTCTAACCTTTAACTTCAAGTTTTCCTTTTCCCCACTCCCCTGCCCTTTTCAATGCTCACCTCACTCTGGCATAATTACCAAGAAGGGAACTAGTCTTTGTACTTAACATTAATTGAAGAGGAAGAATTACAAGAGTAAGCACAATGGGGAATACACATTGAAAGAAAGGTGCCAGCTCTAGCAACCACAAACACAGTTAACAAACAGTCCAGTAATTCCCTTTTGTGTGCCAACTTACTCTCTTATAATCCCTTTCTCTCCTCTAATTGTTGCCAAGGCCTACTTCAAGTGAAGCCGTAACTGACATTACAAGGGGCTCTAATAGAATAGAATAAAATAGAATAGAATAGAATAGAATAGAATAGA